CCAGGGTGTGCCCGTGTCTGCCTGAGTGTTTTGAGTGGGAGCCTGCGTGCGGTGTGCGCCCCGAGCTGCGGGCGGGCGCGCCCGGGGTGGTGGCGGGGTGGGGGCGGACGGGGCGTGCGTGCGGGAGAGGAGAGGGGGCGGGGAAGGAGGGAGGGATCACCGAGCCCCGCCGCTCGGGCCGGCGCGCAGCCTAGCCATGTCCCAGCCCGCTCCGGTGCGGACGGCTTCTGTTTGGGTGAGCGGGAGCTGTCCAGAAGGGCTCTGCCGCTGGCCGGGGCAGCCAACCTACCCTCCCGGACCCGGGGCGGGGCAGCGCCCGATGAGCGCCGCCGACAGCCACTCCGAGGCCACGGCTGGCCTGGGGGGCGGGCCTCCTGCGCACATCTACCAATGGCTTAGGAGGAGGCGGGGCTGCGCGTTTCAGGTTTGGCTGACGGCTCTGTCTTTTTTTCTCCTCTGCCACTGGAATCAAACGTCAAAGAGAGGGAGGGAGGGGAAGAAGGGGTAGAAGAGGAAGAGAGAGGCAAGAGTGCGAGCGAGGGACAGAAATTATGTTAAAGATGTCGCGCTGTGTCTCCCCCCTGCCCCCCACCAACAGCTGCGATCTGGGGAAAAGGGCCTTGCTTTAGTTCCCTTCGCTTCACCCCAGAGCTTTTCTCGAGGCTCGAAAGCTGGGAGGAAAGGACTCTGCTACTTGCTGGTGTAAAAACAAACACAGGTCTCAGCAAGCTGGGAGCGTCCCTAGCTGGGAGCCAGTAGTTTTAGCATTTTAAAATGCAGGCGCCAAGGTATTCTAATGCAGGGCAAATTCCCGAGACTGGGGCGTGCTCCGTCTACCGCCCGAGAGGAACTCCTGCGCCCTCGCCGCCTGTGAGCTGCGGCAGGCGGACGCAGCAAGCCCACAGGCGGCTCGGCCCGTGGTCGTGCATGCAAAGTTAACACAATAATATCATTTAATTATCTGGCGAGCCCATAAATCTCCCTGTTATGAGGCTTCAGAAGGGCCCTGCTAGATTGCAAAACAAAGCTAGAACTCCAAGAGCTTCGGTTTCAATGTGACCAAATGCTTGCCTCATTAGAGACTTGTTAATTTTAAGAATTGGCGGCGGTGGTGTGGGGGTGGGAGAGGGTGGGGGGTGGGTGTTGGGGCAAGATTGTTGCCGCTGCCTAAAGTGAGCAAACTTCTCCAGGGGCAGGGAGTATGTAAACCGTCTGGGAAGACACCCGTGGATCTTTCCCCAACCAAACACACATACGCGCGCGCACACACACTTCTCTCGAATCCCGGGAGAGGAACACCCCGGATTAGGGCTGTGGTAGATGCCATGAAGCCTTGGCAGACATTGGCATATCCAAACCTTGTTTCTGAAAAGACCAGAAGAACCCCGGCAAGTTCTAGAACGCTCCCAAGCCGCAGCTTTAAAAAGTACACCTTCTTTTACCTAGAAATTCCGTTATTCAGTAACCCCGGAGTGGGGTCGAGAGAAGGTGGAGGTTTCTGCAACTTGGGTGGGTGCCCGGAGAGAGGTGGTTGAAGACAGAGCCACCGGACACTGAAAGCCTTAAAAGTAGCAGATTCTTCCAAAGCAGGTTGCGGCTCTGTTTGCCTCCTGAAGATTCAAGCTAGCTGAGGTTGCGCAGATGTTGCCTTTGTTTAAAGAGACAGTAATTAAGGACAGGGTGGACATAAGTTTGAGAAGCGTGACCTATTTTCTTTTGATCAGCTGTCAAAAAGAAGAGCAGGGGGTCTCCTTAAGACAGCCCCCTCCAACCACTTCCAGCTGTTAGAGAAAACTTGCTAGGAAAACAAGGACACAGTCTGGAATACTGTATGTGCCTTCCAGGAGCTTGAGAAAGGGTTGAAAATAGTTCTTCGTCTCCCTGACCTTTTAGGGCTGCTCTCCTCTCTTCTAGCTACAGAGCCTCCCAAGCCCACCCCATCCCACACCATCCTGTCGCATGAAATGTACAGTGATGTTACTCACAGGTCTACTATTGAGCTCCGGACAATACCTTACCAATTATTATTTCAAATAGCTGCTTCTCTGTAATATCAAAGCCTGGGTAGGAAAGTGGACTGTAGACACATTTTTCTGGATGCTCACCTCTGTAATGTCACAAAACTAGACCGGTGAAATAATTCAGTTTTCTGTTTCTCTGCCTTTTCTCTCCCTCTCACCCTCTCCTACTGTCTCTCTCCCCACACCCCACCTTATATATGGCAGCTGGACACTTGGGATAATTTGAAACAGTTATTATTTGAAAAATACACTGAATTGAACAAAAGGCAATAAGAGTGCAAGGTGGGGGAAGGAGTCTGTCTGGTATGCCCTGGTGCTGAAGCAGCCTCCTCTGCCCTGGCTTCAGCCTCAAAGAGTGGCCAGTGACCCCAGGCTTGGGCATTGATAGGCAGTGCCTCTATACAGAAAACTAAATATACAAATTGCCATTTCAATAATTTTTCAAAATGATAAAACTCATTTACCAGGCTATCAAGATAAATATCCTAGGAATTGCATTTCGGTGTGCCTGGGAGCAGTCAAGTACTGGGGAGTTGAAAGGTGAGTTGCATATTCTCGCTGCCTAGCTCCCTCCCTCCCTCCCTCCTCCCTTTCTCCTCCCTCTCTCCCAACGTAGCTCCCCCTTCCCTCGATCAATATTGGCGATCTCAGGGAAATCATGAAATAGTATTGGCTTCTTTGTGTATAATTTCATTGGGGTAGATTAAAGCAGATTTTTCACGTTGTTTTTCTAATGGCGGTTTGAGGTTTTATATTTCAAACCAAAACCCACTTAAAAGGAAAATTAATGGGTATGTTTAGTCAGCCTCCTAATTTTCTACTGAATTAGGTTTGCGTGCCCTTTTCCCTTTCTTTCTAAAAAAAAGGAAGAATATTTATTTTCTACTTGAAAATAATTTTAAGAACATCAGTACTAATAAGGTTTTCAAATATGTTTTAACATATCTTTGACGTTTCTTTTTCTATTGTTTTTTAAGAAAATAAAAAAAGCTTTCTAACTGCCCCTTGTTTAGGACATAAACACTAGGCTTCACAAGTTCTTCGACTCAGACTTTTTTCTTTTAATTTGAAGTCACATGCCTTTTCCCCCTCTTCCCGTTGGCATTTGATTCGCAAATAGACTATACGGAAATGTGGTAGCAGGAGAGCTAGTTCATGACTAGTAGAATCTGGACAAACAGTTGCACTAGCCATTTTATCAGGGGCAGGATATCCATTTCTTGGTGTGCCACATCCACAGGTCTGATTTTCTTTAAGATCAAACACTTAAATGGGTCAAAAGAAGCCTTTAAATAAAATGCAGCTTTGAAGACAAATGTAAAACCTATTGTACTGTAAAGGGAAAAAAAAATCTGAACTTGAGCTAGCAATTGCAGAAAACGACTGGACATTTTTACTGGAATTTTTTACTTTTCATATGTGTTTTCACATTAAATTGTTTTTAGGCTCTAAGAGGGAGAAAGCAGTGGACATTCAATTAAAACAGAGACCCTATAAATTATTCACACACACAAAAATAAACAGCCCACAAGTAAACCCAGTCTGGATAAGGGGCCCAACAGCTTTGTTTTCACCAAACAACAGTAACCGCAACCCAAATCCCGGAAAGAGGAGGGCTGCTGATTCCCACCCACATGTTCAAAATGCTGGAGAAGGTTTTGTGTTGAGCAGAGCACATTTGTGCTACAACTAGGTTTGTCTGAGCACGACAAAAAGACATAATGGTGGGTTGATTTGGACTATTTTATTTTTGTCCTTCCCCAAACCATCTGGCGTGTGAGTGTAGGGGTATTGATCAGGATCTGTGAGCTGCAGACCCCATGCCAATCTATAGCGTTTCTGGCAATCAGCATCGCCCATGAATTGCAGCTGTCTGTGCAGCTCCCGAACAGAAATCTTCAAAAAAGTCCCCCCCTTATCAAACACATCATCCGTTCAGGGGTAAGTCAATATCTTTTCTTTGTCATTCCGTGAGCCAGGATTATGCAGGAGAAAGTTTTTGTTGTTGTTGTTGTCTGTTGTAGCTGCCGCTGCTGCGCCCCCCCCCCTTTTTTTTAAAGGAAAGAGAGCAATTTTCTAGCCTTTGAATGGAAATGGGTTTCCAGAAAGGCCTCAAGCGTTTGTACGAATGGACGACAAATGCTGTTTAAATATTGTGGGGGAATTCCAAGAGGAGGGAGAAATTCTTCTGTTGCTATACACAAATAATAAGTGGTAATACAGGGTGCCTTTTAACGGAACAGAATTGTCTCCCCCTTTTCCGGAGCCCCTGGTGATGAAGACACCGCAGGTCTCTGTGATTACACTTGCAGATGGACGGTGGGTGCTGGTGGTGAAAAGGGAGCCTGTGGAATTCTGGCTCTGTTTGATATCTCCATTAGCTTCAATTGTCCTCTGCTTGAAAGCTAGGGCTAGTTGAGCACTGGGAGAGGAAAACTAAAACCAAAGCCCCACGAACTCCCTTCGGCCTCTCAGCTCAGAAACTCATTGACACATTTAGATTTCGGTTGAATCTAGGAAAGTTTTGTTTTTTTTTTAAAAGTTGTCCAGGTGGTGAGACGGAAGCAGTCCTTCCTCCATGTGAATGTTGTTAAAAATCGAAAATGCCAGGTTAGTTGGCAGAGCTGGCAAGGGACTGACCGCCCTTAACTTTTTGGCGGACAAAGAACACTTTGCGCCGGGGTGGGGGGAGAGTTGGAGTTGGTTAGTGTTCTTTTCACCCTCAGCTGGCCTCTTGGGGGGGGGGGATGAAGGTACAGGAGAGCCTTCCCTTAGAGCCCCAAGCCCAGTGCCTAGATTCAAAAGTGGGGAGTGGGGCAGTAGGGGTGGCTGGGCTGGGGGCAAGCCCTACCACAGCCTCAGTAGCCCACGGGCGTGGAATGGTCAGTCTTGGGGGAGGGAGGAGAAGACCCCCACCCCCACCCCAAAGAGCGTTGACACCTGCTTCAGGGGCTGGAGTCCGGAGAGGCATCCAGAACATGGAGCACTGCAGAGGTACTCTGCTGGCGCGTCCACCTGCCTAGTTTTGAAGAAAGCCAGGGACTAGGTCACCCACCTTGATCAACACCACCCCCCTCCACTCCTATAGATAGGGAACTGTTGGAGTTTTGTGTCCTCAGGGACATACACACACGCACACGCACACACGCATGCATGCACGCATCCCTGCCCTCTCTGGCGTTCCTGGCCCCCTCGCCGGAGGAGTTTGGGCAGGAGTGGGTGTTGGGGCCTCTGATCCCGGCAGGAGGTCACTGTCGCGGGGGGCTGGGTTTTGGGACTGCGGCCTGGAATTCGGGGCCCATCACAGAACCTTATCTGCCCCCTCCCCATTTCGGTTCTGTTTTCGTGGCTGCTATCACTGTG